CTTATTCTTAAGAACTAATATTGGATTGATCCTATAAGTTCTACAGCAGATCAGATTCTTGGAATTAATACATGTATTTGGATATTTAAATCCATCAAATCTTGCTTATATATTGAACTATCCAAATGGTATGGTGAAGCGAAATAGTATGAATCTTGTACATTCACATGGGCAATCTTAAAGTACATACTCTCCTAATTAGGTTGTGTTTTAGATTGCGCTTTGTAATTATTTGATCAGAATATTGTAAAAGCATTCTTTGAATAAAATATAATATTGGGAAGGAAAAATATCAGGTGAAGTTGGTGAGAAGGATCACAAGTAAATTTATTTTGGAAAAAAAAAGGACCAAAGCACTCAAAGTGAATTATAACCTTAAATCATCTGAATGACGTTTGTCATTTTTTTCCCAAATAACTAAAGTTGGACTAGTTGGATTGCCACCCCAAATTGTCACATAATTTTTAAATAATTTAAAAATTCATATTAATAAATATTTTCATCCAAATTGATATTGTTGATGCACACATTTTAAAATGGTTATAAAAGTTCATTCTGACACTTGCTTGAAACTAATTAACTATATGGCACAATACAAACTTGAAATGTTGTTATAAAATTAAGTAAAAATGTTACTTTTTAATTGATCTCTTATTAGTACTTGCATGTTATTCTTGATTTTTTTTTGTTGGGATAATATATCCAACACCAAAGATCACGAAAAAAAAGAACATTAATCCATGAACAACATATGCTGATGACAAGCAATTATTGTTATGAAAACTGAACTGGACCATCTAGTCAAATCAATCAAAATTGATTTAACTGAAATTCGGTGCCTACTTCGGTCCCAACATCAAACTAGTGAACTGACTAAAGGATCTGTTTAGATTTCAGTTGGATATAATAAATTATGAAAATAATTGATTAAGTGGTAGATTTTAATCATAATTAATTATGTTATAATGTAATCTATTTGGATACTGTTTTCCTAAAATTAATTTTAACAGAATTAAAGATGTTTAAATAATTTAATCAAAATTAATTTTTAACTATATAAATTACTATATAATTTAATTTTTAAATATTAAATATTAATTTTTTGAATATACAAATTTTAAATTTTATTAAGAAAAAAAAAAGAAAAAAGAAGAGAGTTTAATTTATTTTTATTAAATTATGTGCTTTTTTTTGTAATTTTTTCTTGAGCCTTTTTTTATAATTTTTTTTAACATTTTTGACAAACTTTTGGTGAAAAGCTGGTGGGAGGAGATTATGGAAAAACGTGTGTTTTGTTCTTTTGATCGATTTCTACATTTTTATGCTGTTTGGGTGATTTTGTTTAAAAAATTAATTCTGAGCTGAAAACGCACGTTTTTCTGCTATCCAAACATACACAAAAACCAATGAACCAGACTGCAATTTCAATTGAACCGGGTAAAAAAAAATATTTAAAAAATTAAACAAAAAGCGTCAAATTGAAACTAAAATTTACTAAAAAATAAAAATATTAAAAAAACTTGACTAGGCCTACAGGCTACAGCTTTTGCAAGGTGTCACCAAAATAAAGCAGCGAACATGCGCCAACAAACTTTCCATTATGTAAGCATCAGGCATCTTCCTCCGCAACAATTAGGCGATGTGGGGCTTATTTCCGTCAAAGACAAAGGCAGTCAGTGTTTAAAACCGATTTAAATTAAAAGGACCGATCTAAATTAATTCAAACTGATAAAAATCGATCAAAACTGAACAACAATCAGGTCTACTTTAGTTTTTATGATATAAAAATCAATTGGTTCGGTTCAAGTTTGGTTTTGAGTACTAAAAACCGAACCAAACTTGATTAAAAAAATTCTATTTATTTATTTGTAAAATATATAATCATTTATCTACAAGAAGTATTTTGTTTTAAATTTTTTATAGTAATAAATAAATATTTTTAAAATACTTGAATGAAAATGCATGATATTAAGTAATTATAATAGTCATGTTATGATCATCATTTAATTATTTACAACTTAAAAGCCTCAGCATTCAATTTATCTACAAAAAACATTTTGTTTTGAATTTTGTATAATAAGTTTTTCATTATTTATTAAAATATAGATACATAGATAAACATGTTCAAAGGATTTTAATGAAAATACATAATATTAAATAATTTCAATCTTAAAAACTTATATCAATTTTTATGATTAATTATTGTTATCACATTGAAATTTTATTATATTTTTATACCTCTATTTATGAAAAAAAGGAGTCAAAAAGAATTAAATTTAATTTTAGTACATAGCACCATTATGAAGATGGAGAAAAGGAAAAAAAATTAAACAAATGCATTAAAACTTGATCAAGACCTTAACCAAACTAAACCAAACCGAAAATAAAACCAAACCAAACCGAACTTCATAAAAATCGATCAGGTCTCAATTATCAGTAAACCGAATGGTTCGGTTCGGTTCGGTTTGATTTTTGCCCAAAACCAAATCAAACCGAACCTATGAACACCCCTAGTCCGATGTCCCATCCCACATGGCTATATGTCTATTTCTTATTTTAAAAAATTACCCCTCATGCTTGTTAATTTTTTGTGTGAGGTCCTCGTACTTATTTTTTTTATATATGAACATCTTTTTTATCTTTGTTATTCTAACTATCTATCTATACTGTTTTTCAAATGATATCATTTTAATTCAATTATAACTTGCCTCTCAAAATTACTCAACGACCAACCTAAAAAATAAGCATGCATCCTTTCTATCTCTTTTTAAATTGATTCTTTTAACTTATTTCTTCATATGTAAAACATTTTTTTCATCTATGTTCATCCACCTACTTATTAACATATCTTTTTAAATAGATTTAGTTCTTATTTCCTTTAAAAAATGTGATAATCATCTCTAAAAAATCAACAATGATTTAGAAGCCCCACAAAATATAAGAAATTTAATTTAAACTTCTTTATAATATTTAAATATATTAATTTAATTATAACTGGTTCAACCATAGTCTAACCCTGACCAAACCATTGAATTGTGAACTAATATCTCAACTAGTTCAATGGCTAGTCTAGTTTTAATAACATTGCAAGCAACAATTTATACTTGGTTATCTCATTTTGCAGCCTCAAAAGGTAACATGAATCATAAATATTGCAAATTTTGTTGAAGAAAGAGACATGCTGTCTAATTAATTGATTAGGGTGACAATTTAGATTGATGAATGTTTGGATAGTGAAAATAATCAATGTTGGAGATTAAAACCAATTATAAACAAAAAATCATGATTTATATAATAGACCTTATGTGGTTTGTTTTATTACTCACATGTATCTTTCTATTAAAGATAATCTCTTATTCAAGGCATTATTGAGTATTAAATGTGAGCATCTCTCTTAATGGAGATTTAAACTTTAATTTATCATGTTATAAGAAACTAGCCCCTTTGTCTAGATTCAACTCCTTTTTTGGATAAAATTTTAGGAAAGATAAATTGAAAAGCATGTAATGATAACTTATGAGATAACTATGATTTGAGGTTTACAATTGATATGATGTTGGCATGTCCAAGAGTGTTTGGATGTTTTTGAAAAAAAAAAACCTATGATTTTGATTTCAAAATTGATTTTAACATGTAATAGAGGCGTTTCGATATATTTAAAAAAATCATGATTTTAGGTTCATATATAATTGATTTTGGAGTGTTTGGATAAATTTTCACAAAATATAGTTTTTTTATCTAAATTTTCAATTAGGCTTAAAATCGCTCTTATTAATGAACTTTATAAATCAATTATACCACATAGCATAATTAAGTGCTTGTTTGGAAGATCATATGAATCAATTTTGGGAGTCAAAAATATGGTTTTATGAAAATATATCTAGACATCAGTATTATATGTTAAAATCAATTATAAATTTAAAATTATTATTTTCTTAAAAATATCCACACACCCCTACACATGACAAAATTAATTATGTATTCAAAACTATGCATGATTTATAAAGAGTTTATATATTTTCAAGATAATTTTTTTAAAAATATAATTGAAATGATAAATTGAAAAGCATGTATATAATAACTTTTGAGACAATCATGATTTTTGATTCATAATTAATGTTGGCGTGTTTAGGAATGTTTGGGCTTTTTTATGAAAACTATAATTTTTGATTCATAATTCATTTTGACATGTATAATAAGTATTTGGTTATTTTTAAGAAAGCTATAATTTTGAGTTCATAATTGGTTTTGGCATATAATATGGATACTTGGATATATTTTCACCAAACCATGATTTTACCTAATTTTCAATTTTCTTTTTAACCCTTCTTTTCAAGTATGCTTAGAATTAATCTTATCAATCAATTTTATAAATAAGTTATACAATGTAACATAATTAATTATATTTAAAATCAATCATATATTAATCAATTTATTTAACGGATATCCAAATGGACACCTCATTTTCTATTTGAACAATATATTATAAAAGGAGTTCTTTAACAAAATATAAAATATTAAGAAGGGGGAAAATTTAAGGGAAAATGATAATAAAATTCTTCTGAAATATATAATGACAATTTTATCCCTCAAAATGCTATAATTTCACTAAATTCTGAGAGATTTTTTTGTCATTAATGAATTTATATAAATAATCAAATTGTTCTTATTGAAAATAAAATGATTCACAAGTTTTGTTTAAATAATTAAAACTTTTTTTCTTATATTCACAACAATGCATCATCAAATCAAAAATTTAACATAGGAAGTTATAATTTACTGTTACATTATTGCAAATACAAAAAGAAAATTTATGATTATTTAAACAAAATTTGTGAATTATTTTATTTTCAATAAGGACAATTTGATTATTTATATAAATTCATTAATGATAGAAAAGTCTAAGGGACTTCAATGAAATTATTATATTTCAAAAGATCAAATTGTCATTATATATTTTAAAGGAATTTTATTGTCATTATCCCAAAATTTAATAATTCTTATGCGCCCACTAATTCAAGGTCGTTGTTGTTCCTCCGTTGACCAAGTTTGACCTCCTTTTTAGACAGGATTCTCATTCTGATCTCCAAAATAATGGCGACAATAACCAAGAAGCCAATCGTTGCTCCATAACCGGCAAACCAACTCGATCCTTCTCTTCCCAAGCTAAGTCCATAAAATGAGTTAACTAATGCAAAGATCAATAAGATCCTGCCAACATTGTGATGATAATAATTCCAATATTTTCGGATTAAACTCGATTCCTTTCGTGGTCGCAATACCAAAGCTATAACCTACGAAGGAAGATTAAGATTACATTAGCTTAATCATTAGCCATAACTATATGTCCAGATTAAGTAATGCTTCCAGTGATGGACCTAGGACCCAAGGCCGGTGGGGGCAATTTTTGAGACACAAATGATACATAATCAATGGTAGAAAAATTTAATTTGACCCACAAATTCAACACGTGGATAAAGCTATATGAACTTGGTTTTTTTTTTTTAAATGTGCGAAATAATTGATATTCAGAGTCTGACCACTTGATTAAATAAAATGTTTTAAACAAAATGTTGAATGTATAGAGGTCAACATTATTTCAAACCCTATACATGATTTTAGTAGAAATCTAGAAAAAATTAATAAATGATTCCACTAAAAACATAAGAATTTAACCGTTTGAAATACAGGTTTTAACAAATGATTATTCATAATACTTAAATTATTATAAAATATCAATCATCTCTCATTACTCATTGTTCTAAATTTTAATAATCCCATTATCAACTTCACTTTTCCGAATATTTTAAATTTAAAGTAGTTCTTATTATCTAACTATAGTGTCTGTTCTTTTTAACAAACTTTGCACCCCAAGTCCTCACCTAGATCTAGATGACTAACGTCTCTCTCCCACTTTTATTCTCTTCTCCTAATTTTCTTTTAATCGGTGAGTTCAAAAATAACATATCAGTAGGGGTAATTACTTAAAACCCAGTTCATATTAGCATGGGGCATCACAAAATTGAATGCATGCATGCACATGAAACAATTATTTAGCTCTCATTACAAGTAAGGGAGAATTAAACTTTTAAGTTCTAATTCCTAAATTTATCTCAGTTATTGATTTGGTCTTCTGAAGTTTAACTTTTATTAACTTGATTCCTTACATTTTCTTAAATTATTATAGTAGTCTTTTAAATTTTAAAATACAAATTTATTCTCAAATTAGTTGTCTAAATTATTGCTAAGTGAGAAAATCAGTTTAATTTTTATCAATCAAACCCTTTACGATGCATTTTGTTATTTTGTTTTAAAAATTTTTTAGACATAAATAATTAAATTTATTTTTATTAATCTATGTGGCTACCATTTGTTCAATTATTTATGTCAATAGATTTTAATTACCTTTCTTAAACAACAACGACGACGATGACAATGACGATGATGACAATGACGACGACAACAACAACAATAATAATAAGGATCAAATTGATAACTGAAGAATATTTAACAATCAAATCAATAAAAATTAAACTTAATTGAGAAACTAAAGTGATATTTAAAATAAATTTAAGGAACTAAAAATTTCACAACGCATATTTGTCTAATGGATAAAATATTGCAGTTGATTGTCTAATATATATGTCTCATTGAAAGAACACCCACTATGAAACTATCAAAATGCCCTTCCAATTCCGATTGCCTTGCATATACCCATTTGATAATATGTTTGTATGACATATATATTATGTTGAACATAAATTAGCAGAAGAGACAGACCTGGAGGCATCCAAGGACGAGAATGAGAATTCCTATGTTTTTGTGATGAGTAATGTAGATTCTCTGAGTCAAGGCAAAGCCACATATGATTCCAACCACGCCAGCAAGGAAAGCAAATGCTTGGATGGAAGTGTGCAAATAAAACCAATGTGGGTCCCACTGCTTGCAGTATCTAGCAACGATGGCTCCTATCATCATAAGAAGACTCCATCCTATCATGTTCAGCCATCCATGGCTTTTTCTTAGCATCGACGAAGATATTAAGGTCACTTTACCTGTTGCATGACACAATAATTAGTCGTATCAAGCAAATATTAAATGAGAGGGGCTGGATAAGAGAGAGAATATGGAGATGAAGGGAGACTTGAAGGAGAGAGAGGTAGAAAGCTAAAATATGAGTAAAATTGAGTTAGTATGGGAAGTCCACTGTGTCAAATATAGTGAAAGGGGATAGGAGGGAGAATGGATAGGAAGGGAGAGAGAAAGGGATAGAACTGATGGCCATTTGGTTCAATTAGTTAAGAGAGTTAAACCAGCTTTTCATGAGTTTTTAATAGTTTGAATTTTGAAATATGTAGTCGTGTTAAAAAAAAATATGTTAAATGTATCCTTCAGGTACCTATATATGAGGCTACATTGGTAATAACTTTCCAACATCTTAGGAATTTAGATTAGTCTAGATGGAATATGGTAATAACCTCAAGTTTCATGACACCAAATGATAGAATTAAAAAAAGAAAAAAAGGAATTGAGAGATGAGGGGCAGTCACAGGAAAAATGGCCAAATATTAAAAATGGAGGACAAAATGGTCATAAAAATATAATTCCATATAAATGAGAGCATGATTCCATGGTTAATTAGATGGGAATTTGGCTTCCTTTAAGAAGGGGTTCCCTAACTACAAACTAAACTAGTTCATTTCTATACTATGGTAGGAATATTAACTCTAACTTCAATTTTTAAGAGACCTATTGGTAATTATTTTCTCCCTTGCCGAGGACTTCTATGTAAATCTCCCTAAATTGAAGTCTACATACATACACAGAAAAATATTCAAACCCATACAGAAAAGGAAAAAAAAAAAAAGACTATTAAATTTGCAAAGAAGGTCAAAGCCAACACACACACACACACACACACACTTTTACCAGTATTATAATTGATCTTGAGGACAATGTAATCACGGTGTTTGGAGAGGAGGTAATTGGGAGCAGAAGGGAAGGAGTGTTTGGGTCCAATGGCCAAAATCAGATACGGAGCTGCCGTCACTGGACTTGCATTGTACACATATGCTGTGGGTTGAGTTGTAGGATCAATAGGTTCTGTATTAGGTTGATCATTATAAGGGATCACCTGTTCAGGTGTTTTCCCTCTCAACCTGTACGCTTGGGTCTGGATATTACCCCCGTCGACCCACGCCACGAAGGCGTCGGAACCCACCATTCCGCCGTCTTCCGAGAACCCTAGTGCTGCATATGCACCTATGTCTGCTGGGAATGAGAACACCAAGTTTATTGTGTCTGCTGAATCCTTTCCATACTGTTGCATGTTCAAGTAAATGCAAACTGTTTAGGCACTGGTTTATGTAATAATTAAAACTCTAATCAAATTGTAGTCAGACACATCATGGACAAAACATTTCATTGAATTAATAAAATATACTAGTTTAACGGTTTATCCGTTTAGCTGACTGGATTAACCTTAATTTTGACACACACACACACACACACACACCCACAGACATTATACAACATGGTTGACTCTTTTGTTGAAAAATGAACCAAATTAATAACGAAGATCAAGTAATAATTGTTGTAAATTTTCGAGATAAACACATTAATTATAAAACCTTAAAAATATGTTTTATGAAAGTAAGCATGAGGTAGGGAGTATATATGTGCCTTGTGACAATAAAGTCCTCATATATATGTGTGTGTGTGTGTGCATTAACATATGAATTATCTAGTTATCCTTAAAAAAAGTTGAATTTTGGAGACGTTTTATTGCAGAAAAGCACCACAAATTAAAAAGCAAAATTTCTCAGTTTTTTATGAAAACAACGCGGCAAAGCGCTGGTATAAACATCATTGTTTAAAAAAGCACCGGTCATTAGAAGCATAATTATGTGCACTATTATTTTGTTTTTTAAAAAAGAAAGGCTATTATAACAGTCTTAGCAAATATATGTATACTTAATGCTTTCTAAAAGCGCCGTGAGTAATATTGCTAGCACTTAAAAACGCCACTAAAGTAAAAATAAAGCACTGCAGGACCTCTTTTATTATTATTTTTTTTAGTGCAAACCCTGCTTCTCTAACCCAAAATAACTGTTAATAAACTTTCTCTAACCAAACAAATATATACATACATATATATATATATATGTATATATGTATATATGTATATAAGGAGAATGACATTTAAGGTCTTAAGAAAATTTATCAGAATAAGGGCCTATCAGTCTTGCATCAAATATTTTCTTGTAAAAACATGTGTATGTTATTGTTAAAAGATGAACCTTAATTTGTTAAATATTTAAAGAAATCCTAACAAGAAAATACAAGTAAAGGTTCACCTTTTAACAATAATTTATAAATATCCAATGCAAAAGTCATGGGCTTTTTATTGTGATAAATTCTTCTGAGAGGGCATCAAATGTCATTCTTCCATGTATATATATGAATTGGAATCGAATGCATATGTGTGTATGCGCGGGCATACTTACCCTGAGAAGAAAATTGTGAGCGGGCCAAAGACGAACACAGCGAAATGAAGTTGAATCAAAAGGAATAGAGAGCCTTGGATCTACTTTCAGAGAACAAGAGTCTTGTGATGACACGAGGGTTGATGAACTACACAAAATGATGATAAGGAAGAGCATACAGTCAACGGAAGAAGCTGGTTTCTTCATCTCCCTCTGTGTAATTAATTTATTAAGCCAGCGTCTATCTTAGGGAATTTCAAATCAGAGACACTATTATTGATGTTGAATGACATTCGCATCCCATCGTTCTGATCCAGTTTAGTTTTATAGGTGAAGCAAAGAGTAACAATCCTCGGAGTTTACGATCGATCTGGTTCGTGAATGCCTAGGCTTTGTCATTAATTATAATATTGTCGTTAATTTATTACGCCTTTGCCAAATAAATCCATTTTATGGTCAAAACGAATGAAGATAAATCAAAACTCTAAATGTTATTCAACTCTGAGAGGACACACGCGCAAACATTATTTAGGGTGTTGGCAATATATATGCTCTCTCCGATCATATTAGAAGACATTTCTAACATAATAAGAAAATGTGGTTAAGTCAACAATTTTGTATTAAAAAAAATGAATGAACATCCAAATTTTCCCATATTTAAATGAAAAAAATTTAAATTTACATTACGTTACATTAAATAGGGATAATATTAGGAAAATGCAATTAATATTTCATGAAGTACCTAATATTAGGAAAATGTGCCTTTTAATAAGAAGAATGTGGGTGTGTTTATATATGTGCACACTCCCATTGGTCCTTAATACTTTTTAAATTTCTATATATAAGGTATTTTTAATCAAATTTCTCATACTAATAAAAATTTTTTTATTTAGTTAAAAGCACATAAAACCACAACAATTTTCCACTTCTTCCCCTAATAGTGTCATAATTAATATTATGGTGGTGGAAAATAATAAGGGCAAAATTATTAAGTTACTGAAAATTATCATGACACCTTTATATTATATTTAGGGACAAAAATAAGCTTCTAAAAAAACATTTTATATGTAGGGATAGAGGGAGTATACATAAATTTAATCAACTTTGGGATTATTGAAATAATACTTATTTTCTTAAAATTGTTAAAAAAAATGTAACTTTCCAATTAACCATATTAAATTGTTATTCAGGAATTCAAACCATAATAAATAAATGAGGGATAAAAGTTGGGAAAAAATAATCAATTACGTACTCTAACTTTGGCTTATATTAAAAATAAAAAAATTTTAAAATTTTCCTTATATTAAATATCCGAAGGAGAATATATTAAGGGTAATAACATGATTAGGGAGGGGTGATTAGCTAGGGACAGATAGGATGTTCCAAATTTTGTGGTCAAAAGAGCCATGCCCTAGGACTAGCAGTCCCATTGTTCAACTCTAAAATTAACGATGTCTTTATTTGATTTACTGTTTAAAAACGACGTATGTTTAAGACATGCTACTTTTGTTTGATTTTATTTGATTTTAATGCAATGAGGAATACGATAGACTTTTATAATCAAAGCCAAACTCTTTATATCAACGTAACTCATTGATAGTTTATTGTGAAAAAGGTAATATATTCATTAGCAAATTAGTATGCCTCTGTGTGTGTGTGTGTGTGTGTGTCATTATATCTTATGAATAAAAATGTTGAAATTGAATATATTATCGAAAGAAACTAATCTAAATAAATAGTATCGGTGAAGTAACCATAATTACTTGTTTTAAGGAATAATTAACTATATAAAACTTAATTATTCAGTTTCATTAAAAAATGATTTTTTTGTTTATTTTATTGAAGAAAAATTTATACCATCTAGATGGAAGATCGACTACTCATGACAAATTTAAAAATTACTTCAAATAGATTATTTTATTCTATATATGAAAAAGAAATCCAAATTCATAAGCAATACCTTAATTGACCATTTTTTCTTTTTCATAATGCTTTTGCCTTATTTCTTATTTAATATCTCTAGTGTGGATTGATATATGTGATTGCTTTAATTGTTGGCTTCTGCGTGGAGGGATATGCTCGTCTTATTACTTATTTCATAATTATTTAACTAATTTGCAGGCCAACATTTGGGTCAAGTTGTAATCACCTTGCGGTTTGCTCCTCTTTCCCAAGTACTCTACAAGTGGCAAGAGTGAAGTGTCTTACCTCCTTGGCTAGGCCAATAAAAATGTTCAACCATTTAAAGTTGTAAAATTTTATATATATCTATGATATATATATATATATAGGAAAAAATTAATATGCAGGACCTTATAATTTTTTTTAATTTTGAAATAGGTTCATGAAATTTATTTTTATTTGAATTAAGCAATTATAGTTTGATTCGTTATATCTTTTCAATCGTTAAAGGTTAAAATATGTTAACTTTTTCTTTAAGGACCCATTTGTTTAATTTCAGCTTTTTTAATGAGAAAATCATCTTTTTTTTAAAAATATTTTTTAAATTTTTCAGTGTTTGTTTAAATTTTTTAAAATAATAAGAATATGAAATCAAAGAGATATATTACTTTTTAATAAGATGCTTTGAATAATTTTTAAAAATAATATAATTCGATAGATGAGAGAAAATATTTTAAAAATGTGAAATACATGAATATATTATAACATTTTAAAATAATTAAATAATAAATTATTTTTATAAAAAAATAAAAAAAATATCATAAAATTTAAAATAACTCACTAATGATAATTTTTTTATTATTGTAATCAAACATAAAATAATATCTATTTTTTTATAAAATCTCTACAAAATAAATATCTTATTATAAAATCTTTAAACGATCTAAAAATAACTTATTTTTTAACTTTACAAAAATGGGCCCTACAAATGAAATTAAGAACTTTTATATTTTTATTTAAAAAATATCTAACTTTAGAATTAATTATCTACTATTTATAATTAAAAATTTATATAATTGGATTTTGTTTTCTAATTAATTTTCATATATATATAATTTAAAAAAATAATAAAAATGTAAACATGATATTAAATCAAAATTTATTTTTATTTTTGCCGAAATTGTTAAATCAAATTCTCTATAAACTTTAACATTGTTTTTTTTTTTTTGGTTTTTGAAAAGTTAACCATTCATTAATAGTTTTAACCGGCCTTATTTGATATGAGGCGTGCACATTAGGAGGTTGAGACAAATGGTATTGGGATTGCTCAACCTTTTCATGTTTGCTCAAGTATAATTTTATATTTTGATTAAATGATAAAAATATTATAAAATTTTTTCTGGAGGGGCAGCTAGCTAGTATTTTCAACATATCATCCCAAACCTTTTTAAAAAAAAGTGTTAAAATGCCCCACCAGTAGCCTAAAAAATTCAAAATAATCAAGGTAAAAAGTTGACAATAATTTATGTAAAAAGCTTTTCCTGCACTGATGGGACCCAACTTTTACATCTGTCATTGAAGTCTGAAGCCATTTTTCTTCTTCTTCTCCACCTCTCTCCCTGCCACTGACACCTCCGTCCTCCGACAGCCTCTTCAGCAACTCCTCCAGGATCTCCGCCCCGATGCCAATGTCATCGACGAATATGATTAGACTTTTATAGTCAAAGCCAAACTCTTTTATATCAACGTAACCCATTGGTTGGTTTATTATGAAAATGATAATGTGTTATTAGTAAATCAGTATGTCTGTGTGTGCCTGTGTGTATATCTCATGAATACAAACATTAAAATTGAATAAATAATCGAAAGCAACTAATCTAAATAAATGGTATTGGTGAAGGAAACATAATTACTTGTTTTAAGGGAGAATTAACTAAAACTTAATTATTCAGTTTCATTAAGAAAATGATTTTATTTGTTTATTTTATAGAAGTAAAATCGATCTAAACCATATAGATGGAAGATCGACTCCATGCCAAATTAAAAAATTATTTGAAATAAATTATTTTAGTTTACATATAAAGGAAATCCAAATTCATAAGCAATACCTTAATTATGCATTTTTCTTTTTCATAATGCTTTTGCCCTATTATTTCCTATTTTAATATCTCTTGTGTGGGTTGATATATATGAATGTTTTAAATGTTGGTTTCTGCGTGGAAGGGTATGCTTGTCTTATTACTTATTTGATAATTATTTAATTAATTTGCTGGCCAACATGTGGGTCAAGTTATATTCACCTCGTGGTTTGCTCCTTTTTCCCAAATACTCCACATTTGGCAAGAGCTAAGCGTCTTACCTCCTTGGCGAGGGAATATATCTGTTCAACTATTGAAAGTTGTAAAATTATATACATACATACGTACATATATATATATATATATATATGAAAAATTAATGTGCAGGTCCTTATATTTTTTATATTTTAAATTAGGTCCATGTAGTTTATTTTCTTTAAATTAAGCTCTTATAGCTTGATTTGTTATATTTATTAATCCTTCAAGGTTAGAATCCATTAAATTTTTAGGGACTCGTTTGTTTCAATTTTTTAATGAGAAAATCACTTAATTTTTTGAAAAAAAGTTATTTTGTAAGTTATATAATTTTTGTTTAAATTTTTAAAAATAATCAGAATTGGAAAAGAAAAGGAGATATCTGATTATTTTAAGAAGCAATTTTGATTAATTTTTACAAATAATATGATGTAGTAGATGAGAAAGAATATTCTAAACACATATAATATAGAAAGATACCATATAATTTTAAAATAATTAAATAATAAATTATTTTTATAAAAAAATATCATAAAATTTAAAAATAACTAATAATTACCTTTTTATTAGTGTAACCACACAAATAATATCTACAATGAAATCTCTATAAAATAAGTCTCTTTTATAAAGGGCCTGTTTATTGCAACTTATTATATAAAAATACATATTTTTTTGAAAAAAAAAAAGATATTTTGTGAGTTGTTATAATGTCTGTTTAAAATTTTAAAATAATCAAAGTTAAAAAAAAAACATATTTTTGATTATTTGAAGAAGCTACCTTGAATAAAAGAAAATAGATGTATTAACTCTTCACATATGTAATTTCTCCAAAAAAAATCATCTTAATTAATAAATTTTTATACTTAACAAATGGAATGTTTCATGCTTATTTAAAAACTAATTAAACCTGCTCACCTCAGGAACATATAATTCTTTAAGTCGCGCATATGGTAGATCAATGGAAATTGCATCAAACTTATTCACCATTAGAGAGGCACTGTTTTGCACCCTTGACATAATGTATCTCAGATAAGTCTCTTTTTAAGCATGTCATGTGGATTGCAGACAAACAAAGTTTATGTCATTATGAAGTTAATTTGAGCAGATTCAAAGGTTTGTTTGAATCAAGGTTTGTTTCTTCTTAAATGTTTGATATGTCTCGTCAATGATAATAGAGGATGTTGCTCCAGCATTTTTTTGTTATTAATACACTAATTTCTTTTATTTAGTTACTTGTTCATTTAATTATTTAAGTCTCCATTCATTTATTTTACCTTACTTGATTGATTATTTAGCTAACCCCTTGTGTTTAATTATTCGCTTGGCACATATGAATGTTGTGAGAGAAACTTTTGCAGGTAGCCTTATTGCACTTTAGCCCAATGTTTTAAAAACTAGATCAGATGATGAACTGAAAAAGTCAAAGTGTCATGGTTATTATGGTTTAATTAGCTAAACTAGAGGTCGAACTAATAACATAACAATTAGATAAAAATAATATTTAAATGAAAAATGAATCAAAACAGTTTAATCATTGTAAGTCCCAAATTTTTCTCTAGATCTTCAAGAACCATCCAAATCAAAGTGGGCCAATCCAAGTCAATTTCTAAAACAGACCACATGGTTGAACTAGAGCATTTTATTCTCCGGGCATTGATCCAAATCTAAAAATACTGCTTTACCCATTCTGATCAAGTCTTGGAGGAAGACTCAGAGTCATAGTTTAAAGTTTTGTATTGTATTTGATTATAAGTTTCTTTAATATAACCATGATATTTGTCGTATTAAGTGAGTGCAGTTAATAAAATTTAGAGGTACTCTCCTGCAACATCTTATATTATATATATATATATATATATATTTCATATTATCTTATATTGCATATGTTCTTAATTATAGGATAAAGTTGTCTGATTCTCACATATCAATTTATATGGTATATATTCCCTTCGGTCCACAATGTAGGATGGTGTCACCTAATATACATTTCTTTTTTAAAAAAAAGGTGGTGACAACATTGATTTTTAAAAAAATATTTACATCTTTTCATTTTATGCCCTTGAGTGAAATGCATTAATTTCTTTATGCTAATTAATGCTTTGAGCATTTAAAGACAGAATTAACAAAAAAATAAGCACATAATTGAAAAAAAATATAAAAAAAGGATTAAAAACCTACACACCGCCCTATAGTTTGAATTTAAGAGAAGCTTTTAGAAATTGCCCTATGTTACAAACTAGGCATTCGCATTCGATGCTCATAAGGAGGTGGCCAATGCGAATGGTGTAAACCAAAGGAAGTACTCTATTTGGATCTATTTATAAGTCAATTTCTTCGTGTTATTGATAGAAACAAGATACTGAAGATGAAAAATAGGCAAGGAGTATCTAGAAATCATGAGTGAAATCTCATAAAGTTCTACTTCTTGAACCCATTCATCTTTCTTTAGCTTTTTCTTTTGATCAGATTCCCTCCTCTATGAAAAGACACCTCTCTAAAAAAAAATAAAAAACTTTATTGAGTATTCTGTTATCCCAAAAAAATGCTCATGTCCCTCCTTCAAAACTTTCTTTCCTTAATCTTTATATGTAACACACCAAATTTTTTTTTTAATAATTTAACTCAACCATAGTTGGGTTACAGCCACCCAACACATTTTATATCAATAATTTTAATATAAAAATATTTTATAATTGGCTTCAACTTGCACAATACAACATTTTAGCTAAATTTTTACCTCCCACATGCCATTAGGCCAAATCACATTTGTCCATCCTTATACTTCCAACAAGTAAACTAAATCACATTTGTCCATCCTTATACTCCCAACAAGTAAAATAAATAATTTAGTTAATTTTCAAAACAAGCCAGTTATTTGGCCTCATAATCATACCATTTTAACCAATCTAAAGTAAATCAAATATTAAAATTATAGTCACTCAAAGTGTATCAAAAATAGAAATAGTTTGAAAGGCATGATTATATTTATATATTCATATAATTGTCAATAAACAAAAAGCCTTAATATTAGCAATATAACACATTATAAATCATAAATCAAATACCCAAAAGAGACAGTGGATCTATGCCACTAAGCCTTTAGGACTCCTCCACATGTCACTCGTGGCTCTTCTCCTGAAAATTGTTAACCACATAATGAGACTCAAAAGTTCCAGTAATCAATGCTAATTTATGATAGTGTGTACAAACAATTAAGTGTGTGCTTACTAAGTGGAAACAAAAAATAATATAATTCCAACAAATATAAAAAATATTACAATACACACAAATAACCATCCTTATATCCCCCCATTAACCTCGAGCCGTAACCCTCACTCGGTGCTAAATTACCCGGCCAAAGGTAGATTAGCTCGAACCCTTACAAGCCACCTATTGAGCTTCAATAGGGGCGTACCACGTGGCACATAAATACAACAACAATAGCAAATCTCCCAACACCTCCCACAATAATCAAACAAATTCATAATAATATTGCACAATTATACAATATTATAAAATTTATAATTTTCTCAATAATCACCCAATTAACATGAAGTAACACAAATCACAAATTAAAAACATGGTTACCTTGTGGCTTTTTCAATAAATTATTCCTTACAATTTCTCTCCCACCACAATCTTTACTAACAACACAATCTACAAATAGCATATTATTTATAAATATTAGTTTCAATTATTGAAACTAATAAAATAATTCTAATAATAGAATTAAAAATATAACATAATTCCTAATCTCAATCTTAATACAAATCTAGAGTTAATACTATTAAGTAAAATTTTTAACTCCTCTTTTACTCATCAATAAATATTAATAATCTAAAAATCAACTTCTAAACTAATTTCTATTATCAAAATTTTCTTTTTATTTCATAAATTCACACCTAAAATATCCAAAAATTTAAAATTGAATCTCTAGCTTAGAATCATAATCTTATAGCCATAATAATTCATTTCTCATCCCAAATAATCATCTAAACCTCAATAAATTAACATATATTTTCAGATTTAATAAAAATTTAGTCTAGAATTTGATCCATAAGTCACAAATTCAAAGATCATCAATAAATTTATACTTTAGAACATTTATTATACTACTAACAACCTCAAAAATCATATTTATTCAACATAAATTCATCCCTCTTCCAGATCTTATATTTTCTACCACCACAAAATCAGAACCCAAAGAGGAAGGATGACTAAGAAAATTTTTTAGAACACATACTTAATCTTGAAAGCTTGAAATCACACCCTAAATATCCTATTAAAAACTCTTACCTTAAAACCCAGCACCGGCGAACTTGCGCACCGTCGCCCCCTCTATTCGCGCACGAAGAGAAATGAAAAAAAGGAGAAATGAAGAAATGAAGGAAGGAGGTGGGTTTTTAAAAAAAAATACTGTGGG